CAATCACAATTAATTTTTATTTGTGCATTAATTGTGATTGGTGATTGTTACATTAATTATTTGTGATACAATTGTTATAAATTCGAACGATATTTGTGAGAGCCTTCCGAAGTGATTGGTAGTTAGTACAATCAAAAGATAATTTCATTGGTACATTAATTATGATTGGTACATTAATTAAATAGCTCTTTTTCTTCGTTTTTTTTTTTTTTGGTCATTGATACATTAATTCTGATTGGGCAACGAAACTGTGCCACGTAGCGCACCAAATTCGCTACCCCTAATAGTGAACTTAGTCTAGTCAGCTTTTCTGCCACGTGTCACGAAATTATTGGCTACCAAGTTCACTACCAGTCGTAGTGAACTTGGACATGTGGCAGTCAGCTTTTCCTGCGAAAAAGTCTGCCACATGTCACGAAATCATTAGCTATCAAGTTTGCTGTCAGTCGTAGCGAACTTCAATGCGCGGCAGTCTGGTAAAAAAGATTATTCGCGTTTCTGATTGATAAAAAATTGCCAAAACATGCCAGTTTGGTCACTTTTTCCATATATTCTATTTGGATAAATTTTTGTTGTCTTATTTTTTTTCTTGTATTCGTATTTTTTGCAGTTGCTGTAGATAAGTTATCTGCAGTAAGCCCAATACGACGTCGTATTGAGGAAGAAATCATGGTGTTTTTGTAATTTTAATTTATTTTAGGGTTATTATAGTCTTTATAATTATAATTTTTTAATCATTCAATCCCAAAACGACGTCATTTTAAGAGTAAACACAGAGAATTTATCGACATTAATTGCATAAATAGTTTTTTTTTTTAACAAGTTAAATTAGAATTTTATTTTTTATTTTTTATTTTTTAAATAAACATGGCCATATATCAATAATTATATTCATCATAACTAATGGACTGAAGTTGACACATTAAACATAGAGTTAGGATATTCTTGTCTTTTTCACAATTTTGCCCCTTATTAATTAATTAATAACTATTTTGCCCCTGATTCGAAACTATTTATCAATCTGCCACTCTTTAGTCGACTACCTTGAATTTTTAATCGACTAAATGGCCAAAACAGACCAAAAATGGCTGCTGGGAGATTTAGTCGACTAAATCTCCCTATTTAGTCGACTAAATCTTCATATTTGACAAAAAAAAAAAATCAGTATGATTTTAATCGATTAAGTAGGGAGATTTAGTCGATTAAATCTCCCAACAACCGTTTAGTCGATTAAAAATACAAGGTAGTCGACTAAAGATGGGCAGATTGATAAATAGTTTCGAATCAGGGGCAAAATGGTTATTAATTAATTAATAAGGGCAAAAGGGTGAAAAAGCCGAATATTCTTACTACCAAATTTTTTTACTACCACTCTAATCTCCATTGATTAGAGGAAAAGTTGAATAAAGAGAGAGAAAAAAAAAATAACTTTTGAATCCAATAACGATTAAAGTAGTAATGGAGTGATAGTAAAAAAAATAGTACTAAAAATATCCTAGCTCTTAAACATATACTTAATTATTTAAGATTAAAACCCGATTCGGCTATGCTAGGCCGTCAACACCCGTAGTTGGCAGGTCCATAGTAACATTATATAAAGGACGAAACTGAGGCTCAAAGCCTATACGTTCAATATTTGAGAGATATGGGATGCTTTTGCTTCCGAGGTAGAAAGAAAAGAGATGAAAATAATAACAAGAAGAGAGTTGAAAACAATTACAAGAAGAGAGAAGGATTCCAAGGTAGAGTCAGAGGTTGTGATAGTGCCAAAGACGGTGGAATGATTATTATGCCAACTGCAGATGGAGGGGGAGGTGGTAGAACCATAATGGACATGGAGGTGGATGCGGCGGTTGCGATGGGGGCTGCGGTTGCAGTGGCGGCGGCAGTTGCGGAGGGGGCGGCTGAGATTTGGTTGCCACATATACATTCGGAGTTTAAGGTCAATTATACAGTGGTTGATTTTTATTTTTATTTTTGTGAATAAATGTACTTGGTTTTTACATTGAGCATATCAAGGGTGTTTGACCTTTTTTTATTTGATATGTTTTATTTAAAAATAGTAAAAAAGTGTATTTATTTTTAATATTATTTTATTAGCTGGTTCGACCTGTTGATTTGTAATTGAAATTTCATCCGCTACAGTTTCGGTATAGGTATTAGAGCGGTCATGTATTTGATGTGATATGAAATTAGGTGTGGCAATACGGGTCAACCCGACACGACACGACACGTTTTTGACTCGTACACTATTTGACACGACCCGTTTTGTAAACGAGTCACAAAACACGAACTCTGACACGATCCGTTACGAGTCACGAGTTGACACGACACGACCCATAAAATTTAAAATTTAAAAAGAAGTGGGATTTTTTGAAAAATAAATAAATTAAAAACAATAAAAAAATAAAAAATAAAATAAAAAAAGATTAGCTTCTGTTTCTTGAGATTTTTAGTTCCTTGTATTCTTTTCTATACTAAACAATGACTATATATATCAATATATAAATGAATAAAAATAATAATATAATAAATATTTAATTGAAAATTAAAAAAATGATACTGTGCGGGTTGACACGTGACCCGACACGAAAAAAACGGGTCACATTTACACAACCCTGACACGACTCGCCCTGACCCGTGGGTTGACACGACACGTGTTTTGACGGGTCGGGTCACAGGTCAACCCGCGGGTCAATACCTTTATTGCCACCCCTATATGAAACTGGTCAACTTTCAACCGATATTAAATCGTCCCAGTTTTTAAAATACTGATTTTGTGGAATTTTTGACAAAAATAATTAAAAAATACCACTAATGAGATTTGAATTTAAACCATGTAAATTATAACTTATAGCACTTTCTACTAATTTAACTGTAATTATTAGTTAAAATGCTTTTAATTTTATATTTTATTGTATATATTTAATTTAAGCGATTAAATCAATAACCCAATGATTGAATTGGTGATCTACTAATCTAATATCCTAACCGAGTCGACAAGGATTCGAGTTTGATAACATTGACCACAGTGGCGGAGCCAGAAAAAAAATTTAGGTAGTGCCAAGAAATTTGACATATCAAATTATTTATCGTAATTACACAAATTTATCCTGAAAAAAATTCATTATGAATTCTAGCATATTTATCTAAATTATTTACTAAATATTGTCACATAATATTGAAATTTTTATTATTATATATAAAAGCAAACATATAAAAATGTACTAATCTTTCCGATAAACATTTCAAATATAAGAATTTATAACAGTAATAGATCCTTGCTGTAATCAATCATGCATCAAATGGATTCGAATTTCTTTGATGAAAGTGGAGACAAAATGAAATTGCTACGCTCTTCCTTAATCGGCTAAACCATATGGCTAATAATCATTTGTTAAAAAATTGCGCTCCAGAACTAACAAATTTTTGCTATGCATGAGGGAGGTTGATTGTGTTTGTTGCTGGGCGGTGACTGGTGTTGGTTTTGAGAAGAAGAACAAGACTTAGGGCAATATGGAGGGAGGATATTTTGGGATGCTGATTGAAAAAGAGAAAAAAGAAAGAAAAAAAGGGAGGAGAGAGAATTGTATAAAAGAATATGTGGGTATAAAAATAAAAGGGTAAAAGATTTCTCCAGTCACCGAAGATAAAGTTATCTCTAGTGAGGTCAAAACGACATCGTTTTGGGCGAAAATCAAAATATTTGTAATTATAATATATTATTGCAGGATTATATTAGTCTTTTTTTTTTTGTAAATAAAATATTAGTCTTTATCATTATAATTTTTTAATCTTATAACCCAAAACAACGTCGTTTTGAGCTCACTAGAGATAACTTTATCTCCAGTGACTGGAGAAATACTTTTCCCAAAATAAAAATATGTTTAAAAAAGTAAAATGACAAATGAGTGGTTAAAAAAATGAGGGAAAAGATAAAAATTAAAAATTGAAGATAAAAATATTACAATTTTGTTATATTTATTTAGATAGTGTCAAATTATAATTTTAGGCATGGCCAAATTATAATTAATCATATAATTATATATATATTTATATATAATAAGTACAAATTTTTTGAAACAAAGGTAGTGCCAAGGCACTACCAAGTGATAAGGTGGCTACGCCATTAAGCCTTAACAAAGTAGATTAAGCTCAGAGAGTAATAATAAACCGTCCATCTTATATTGCTTTGCAACAAATCTAAAGCAGAGGTTTCTAATGTTTTAACAAATTTGATGCAATTTTCCCTTCCCTTGCTTTCTCCTCTGCTTTTCAGAAAGATTTGTTCATCAAACATCTTTTTTTTTTTTTTAGCATGCAGAGTTATGTTCTTCACTACCCTGTCTATAAGGATAATTAAAAGGACGGCTTAGCGCACAAGACTCTCGCTATTAAGGGGGTCCGAAGAGAGATATACATAAATGTTACCTCATATGTCCAAGAGTTTAACGGCTATTTCCGTGACCAGATTCTATGATCATCATATATTATCACTTGACAACAACCTTATTTTTATGCCAAGGCTGCAACCATTTTTCTGGAGGAAATTCTTTGTTTTTTTTTTTATCAGACAATGGTTTAATGGGGTTTCTACTTTGTAATACTTTTAAGCGCAATGCATGTAAGACTTTTCTCTCACTTTCGTCTCTTTGTTTAACATTTGCAAAAACTGAATTGAAAGAAAAGCGTATATATACTATGGGAGAGTGAAAGAGGCATAGGGTTGACGTGTAACGTGTTTGCTTCATGACTCATGAGCACTAGCTTTATCCTCATCACATACTAACTTTTTAGGACTAATTAACAATTTCCCTTGTGTGAATGCTTGGTTATAAATCCCACAACAAGGGAATCCTTGGCCATGAAGTAACCTTTGCTCCAAGCAATTCTGCAACTCTTCCTTCTTCTTCCCAATTATTCTCTGCAGAACATAAAATCTCCATTTCCACTTCTGTTTCTCCAATATGAAGTGTGTGTATATCTTCGGAACTCAAAAGATACCACGGAGAATGGCGGTCACACATGCTGATCTTGAACCAAACCGACGAAAAAGATATTTGAGCAGCAAAACCGGTACCTTCTTTATGGTTCTTGCCATTCTATTAGGCCTCTTCTGCTTCATTCTGTGTCTCATAGCAGAAGCCACGCGTTCTAAGGTACACTACAAGTTTAATATGTTTGCAAGTTACAAATTTACCAATTACTCTAAAAAAAATTGAAAAAGAAATTATTTTTTCATGAAGTTTAAAATAATCTGGTGGGGATGATGTGACAGGTGACATCATGGTCGAACATAACAGAGAATAAAGAGGGAAGCAAATCTGAATGTGCATACAGTGGTAGTGGGAAGATGCCATTGCTATGTGCTGCTTGTGCTGTTATTGGACTAGCAATTGTCATGGTCGTGGTGCATGCTTGTATGTTGATCGTAGTTAGTAAATTAACACCTGATTTACTTATCCTGGATCCTGATTCTGCCTCTGTCAAATCCTTAACATGGCAAGCTGGGTTTTTCTTTGTTACAACTTGGTAAGAAAAAGACAGTTCGTTGTGTTATTCTTCACCTATTGCAGAAAATATAGTTCTTTATTTAATGCTTTCCAATAAATTTCTTTTTTTTCAAATAAAAATTAAAAACATGTCCCTTAAAGAGTTAACATATCCTATGTGTTGTAGGGTTTGTTTTGCAGTTGGGGAGATTTTATTGTTGGCGGGAGTGACTGTAGAATCAGGGCATTTGAAGAATTGGTCAAAGCCTAGACCAAGTTGCCTTATCATCAAAGAAGGGTTATTCTCTGCAGCAGGGGTGTTTGTTTTAACCACAGTTTTCTTAGGTTTTGGTTTATACCTAACAGCATTAGGTGCGTTAAGAATGTCACGTGAGCTAGAAAATGTTGCACGGGAGGTTCATCAGATACCAAGAGCACCTCAAATGCTTGCCAGGGAGAACCCTACAACCAGAGAGTCTCTAGTATCCGTATTTCCGACTCCTTTCAATAAAAGCTACAACTTTGTGTAATTGTAAACTTAAAGGCGCAGGAAAGTATACTTAGATTCTAAGAAAAGGATGCAAGTAAAGCGAAAAGACACCCTAAAAAAAAATAAACTATGTATGCGAGAATTGATTTTGTGTAAGGTCGATTGATTAATAACAATTTTCCAGTTTTTTTTTTTTTAGTTTTCTGAAAAATCGATTTTTGAGGATTGATTAGATTCGAAAGAAACCCGACTCGTCGGTCTGATTCTGATAGTTATGCTTTTAAGTGAGGGGGGTTTTATAAGAGTTATGTTGCCGAAAAAGTGACTGTATAATGTTAATAGAGATTCGTTGTGCGTGTCTTAGTTTTTTTTTGTTACTTTAAAAAGTGCGAGTCCCATAAAATGTTATATATAGAAAAAAAATTCTTGTCATGTTAAAGGACAAACTAAAACCACTTTAAGTGGTTATTTTTAGGAATTAACATATATAGATGGTGATTGAATTATTTTTATTTTTACTTATTATATTTTACTATGAATTATAAAATATCACCTTCTTTTTTACTTCTTTTTAACAAAATCTTGAACGCAAAAATAAAAAATAATTAAATTAAAAAAAGTAAACATCTAGAGGGTTTTTTCTGTGTCCGTAGGATGTTATGTCGCAGGATATCTAGTAAAAGTAAAATAAAATTATAATTATGAGTAATATATAATTTTTTTATATACCTTATAACTATATGAACTATGGTAGTATATAGTTATAATATTAAAAAAAATTCATACCCCTTATAATTATGTACTGCTCCTAATACATAGTTATTTTGAGAGTTGAAAGTTCTAAATTCTAACCATACGAAAGCGTATTAGTTGTCTAGTTTCATCTTACTAATTAATGATATATACTGAAGTTATTATTACTGGGATATTTTTATACTGTTAACCTGTTATAAAAAAAATCATATCATGAACAAAAAGAATATTAAAAAAAATAATAATTAATTCTTTAATTGAAAAAAAAATTGTTTTCGTTGAATAATAGACAAAGTGTTAGACGTTATGTGATGAGGGAGCGAATTTTAAGAGTAAAAAATATTTAATTTACCAAAGGGTTGGTTTGACTGGTATATGTTTGATTTCGTTCGAACAATATTTTGGATTCAAATCCTAATAATACAAAACAAATTATTTGGGAGAGCTAGCACCAAATATGAACATTTCTGAACTGAATTGCCTCTAAAAATATACGTGATTTATCCACACACAAAAAAAATTTGATTTCCAAACAAATCAACTCAAGGAGAAAGTTCTATTTCACAAAATAAATTAGTCTCATTTAAAAAGGATGGAAATATTTTTTAAATAAAAAGTGATTAATATCCGCAAAAATATTTAAATATAAATCATGTATGATGTATGTATTAAGTTAATTAAATTTATAATTAATTGTTATATTTTTTATAATTAACAATGTAATTAGTGTAATATACTGAAATAAATACATAAAAGACTACTCATTCATCGTGATTGAGAATCCATGTTGGATAGGAACCATAAACCACACCGAGCTTCAAGGTTAGATCCAAGAGCAAAAGCCGGCCCATAAAACGAAAAACGTTAGGCGTTGAGTGAATGTGTTTGGCCATCGAATCGAAATTGCAGTAGCTACGGGTTTTGTGGTCAATTTATCGATCTTCGAAATCTTCTCGTGTTCTTGATCTCACACAGACGAAACGATGTCGCTCGGGCCAAATGACAGGACCGTAGCCGACGAGGGCTTGCAGAAGAAGCGTCGCGAAGGCCTCAATGCTCGGCAACAGTTCCCCACTCCTCTTTAGACTTCCACCGTCGACAAGAAGGTACTGCAACCTCCTCTTCGTATTCCATGCTCTTCGCGGTTTCGGAAGCTGCTTTCAATCGGTAACTTGTTATTTACTGGGGTTCTAATCGCTCTTTTCTGAATCGATTAGCTTCCATATGTTAATTTATATCTGCTATACAACGCAGCCCTCCAATTGTCGAAGTTATTCAATCTGGTGTTTCCTAGTTTCTTAGCTTCGAAGTTTTTTGCTTTGTTAGATAAATATATTAAGATTTTGGGTTGGATTTGTTGCGTTTACATCATTGCCTTTCTGATTAATAAATAATTAAATATTAATGATATTTCTTAGGAAAGATAAGTTGAAAAAATGTGTATTATTTACTCTTCACGTCAAATGAGTTCTTATGTGAACGGACGTAATAGAAAATATAAAATCATTAGTACATCCTTCACCTAATAACCTAAGCTTTTAGATTTAATTGATTGCTTTATATACTATGCATCTTATGTTTTTGCTTGTGTGGCGCAGAGTTGTTGAAATCTGTTGTGTTCATTAGTTTTAACATAGCATCTGGATCTTCTGAGAACCTAAAGTGGTGATTTTGTTGTGTTCGTTAATTATAACACAGCATCTGGATCTTCTGAGAACACTAAAGTGGTGATTGATTATGGGCCACTTCCTATAATTGTCAAGCTACTTAGTTCACTCAGTGATGATGTCGGGGAACAGGTTTGTTATACTTGAATGTGCTAATACAAGCATCTTCCTTTTTAATTTTACAGAACATTAATCCACTGAAATTCTAGGCGGTGTGGGAATGTTGCTGGTGACTCACCTAGGTGCCGTGATCTAGTGCTCCGCTAGGGTGCCCTCATCCCACTATTGGCCCAGTTGAATGATCATGCAAGACTTTCAATGCAGAGAAATGCCACATGGACATTATCAAACTTTTTAAGGGGCAAGCCACTGCCTCAATTTGAGCACGTAATACCTTTACTCTCTTTATTGGTTAATTTAAATCAAACTTTTGGGATATCCTCTTTTTGCATATTCTTACTGCTAATATTATGGTGGATAGGTGAGGCCAGCTCTTGAGCGTTTAGTGTGTTTTTTTTTTTTTTTTTTCAATGATGGAGAAGTTTTGACAGATGTATGCTGGCATTATCATATCTTTCTACGAATTCAACGGTTAGGCTTGGACCAATTCTTCAGATGAGATGATCTGACTCTAACCTCACTTATGTTAATAGCAGAATCTCCCCAACTGCAAAGCAAATCCTACAACACTGAGCACGTGTTAATTGTTTAAGATCAGATGATGTTTAATGCTAATGACATTTTTTTCAATTTTAATTTGAAAGAACTTTCATAAATTTATTTGAAGACCCCAAATTTTGTCAATCTTGCACACTAGTCTTCTTGTAAGTAGGAGATGCGTTGGAAAGAAAGTGGGTCTCCCGCCAAATGGATCTCTTGAGAGGATCAGCATGTGTGGGAAAATAATGTCTTGGGTTCCTTAAACTTAACTTATATAGCACATGATTCAGTAGGAGTTTTTGTGACTCGTTATAGGTGTAACTCTGTGACTGAGAGTATTTGCAATGGGGTTCCTATGATCAGCAGGCCTTTCTTTGGAGTTCAAGGGACAACTGCAAGTATGATGGACGATGTTTGGGAGATTGGGTTGATAATAGAAGGATAGAGGGGGAAGAAGATTGAGGAACAACTTCACTTGCTTAAAAGCTTGAATCTGATTCCTGCAGGAAGAGGGGAAGAAGATTAGAAGCAATGCCCTTAATGTGAAGGAGACCGTGCAAGATGCAGTGAGGCCTGAAAGGCAACCGGTCTAGGAAGGTAAATTGCTTTCCTGCACCCCCAAAGCGTTTTGGGGTCACGGGGTTACATAAAATTTGAATTTAAACATCTTATCATCAATTCTTTTGTGCGTGGTATCAGAAAAACTTGTGCCCAGTCTCTTTAAATTAAATAAAAGAATGACCTCCGTCTAGTCTCTTTTCGGTTGTTATTGGACATTTGTTCTTCCATAATAATCCAAAATTGGGGAATTCTTCATATGACAAAATTAATTACAAGAGTAAAACAAACTGCATGGTTCTTACTCTAATCTCAAGGACCGGTTGGGTTTTCAGCTTAAATTCTTGTTTTCACAAGTGTCTATAATTTCATATTTTTTAGCATTTTCAGATTCCGTGACATATCAATATATGCTGAAGATATATGAACCATAAAATATACCTGACAGATTGGTTATGTAGTTATTTTTAGTAAGACATTCTTGATATGAGAGTGTGAGATAAGTTGTATAAATCAGTGCGAGTTACTAATATTTGCATTGAGAAATTTTTGGAGAATGGCATTACAAGCTAAAGCTGTTAAAAGATAATAAATTATACTCTTCTCACCAATTGATGTAGACATGTTGGCCAAAATAACTAGCGAATGTGGTTTCTCCTACAAGTGGTATCAAAGTCAACTATCTAAAGAGTGTTGTCATAATAAGAGTACATGTCTGTGCTAAAAGTCTTCTTGATATAAGGTCAAATTCGTGTTCTATTGAAAATGACAGCATAGGCACAAATATTTGATTGGAGCGTTTTAATTGGTTGTGGTTTGGAGATTCTAAAGATGCGATTTGTTAATTACGTGACATATCTCGCTATGCATGAGCATGCCTTCTTGAAAATAAAGGTCCAGCGGTCTTTCATTAATAAATAAATTAGCTTGACAATTTGATTGCGATTTTGAAGATTTGAAAGATGCAATTTAACAAAGATGGAGATGATTTAAAGATTTTGAAGAATGTATAGCGATGATGAAATGTGGACGTCAAAATTATTGGATTTAACCCGGATTCTTGTTTAGATGAGTATCTAGTTTTCCGGTTACTAAAATTTCAGAAAATTTGATATTATACATGAAATGTATGATAGGTGGGAAAAACATGGTCGTTAAAATCTCGATTTATCACTACGATTTTACGTTTTTATTATTTTTTTTCATCAAAACGCTTTTACGATTTTTTTACATTACGATTTTACGTTTTACGATTTTTTAACCCTCTTTCGATTTTACTTAAAATCTTGATTTTAATAACCTTGGAAAAAAGTGTGTATCATTTTAAATGATGAAAAATTGTGTCATTTTAAGTGAGAGAAAGAGATAAATAAAAGAGGAGAGAGAGTGGACAAAAAAATATAAAGGTGTGTGTCTCACCTCTTTGTGAGAGTGAAAGGATATAAGTTGTGTCATTTAAAAGGACAAACACTTTTTCTATGATAGATAGATGAAAATGTACATGTCATCGGAATCTTTTTTATTCCCCATCATGTCCTCATCCCACGTAGAAATTAATCCAATGTAATTCTTTCTTTAGATATTTTAATCAGTTCATCACTTCGCGATTAGTTCGATTAAGGGCGAGTATCGGAATTAAGGTTTTAAACCCCTCTTAAAGATAGTACTGGAGAAAATCGAACACGTGTTCTCATCCTCACCTATTCAATTCCTTAACGCCAATTGAGCTATCATCATTTGATTAATTCAATATACTCCGTTCCTTGTTAACACTACTTTGACTATGACATATTAATCTCATTTGTTAAGAGTTATTCCAAGCTCTCGCTCAGCACCCTCTCCTAGGAAAAAAAATTGTCAAGGCGTATTTGTGTACTACAAATTAAGGAATAAAAAGATCGTATTTGTTATTTATTTTAAATATTTAAAAAGGTATTTAATTCGTTTTTAATTTTGAAGATATTGACTTGTTTAGTGAGCTTGAGATGCGAAATTAGAGTAAAGAAATTTGGGATACACCACTCCAAAAGTTAGCTCATGCTAACTCAGAGTTCCAAAAGCTAGCTCATGCGAACTCAGAGTTTCAAAAGCTAGCTCAAAGAATGGGAGTGTCCAAAGCCTTATAAAGGCCATATTAGTTGCCCATACAATTAATGTGGAACTATATATCAACACGCCCCCTCACACGAGAGCTCATTGAGCTTGAAGCGTGGATTATGCACAGACCCAATTTTTGGTTTACTTTTTGTACTTTTTATTTTAATTCTACTTTAAAGTGGGGGCGGTGAGAGGATCCAAGTAAATAACCTTTGGATACATCATTCCAAAAACTAACTTTTGAGAGTGTTCAAAGCCTTATAAAGGACATATTAATTGTCCATACAATTAATACAATTAATATATCTCAACAGTCAATCGTCCATGATATGGTTAGAGTTCATTGTCAAATTGAGAAAATCATTTGAATTCCCCGTAGACAGGAGGCCCGTGACTCAGATATAAATTGAAAAAGAAAAGGAATACAAAGTTATATATCCGTAAATAGGTGATATCGTTACCTTGTTGATAATTCATGGCGCATCAGCCGGCAGCCGCAGTGAAAATTGTTACGATTAGAATGAAAAAAAATGAAAAGGATGAATAGTTGAATTTGGGATGGTCCCTAAAGAGAAAGGTGTTGCGAGCTTTGGCTTTTACTCCATGTTTTGTCTGACAAGTTTTTGTTTATTTGCTATCTCTCTACTGATGTCCCTATCATTATTCGTCACGAGTTGAACTTGTGCTGTGATGCGCTCTTACTTACTCTTTTACATAATTGTCTTCTTGATACTAAGTAGAACCTAATAATTATATAATAAAAATGTATTCTTCTTTCTTCTTTTGGCATTTCTTATGTGCTTTGCTTTTTTCTATGCCAAATTTTGACAGACTTATTTTCCTTGGGTCAATACAAGGATGTGATTAACAGATTACAGGGTGTGTTGCGAAGGCAAGACAAACATCAACTACACCCTTCCGTGACTTGGGCCATTTAGATTATGGTTTATTTTTAAAAAAATTTAAAATTACGTTCAGATGAACTATATAAAAAATACTTTTAAATAAAAAAATTATTTGAATGTTAAAATTAGTAACCATTTTTTTATATATATAATTATTGGATATGTGATGGTAATGGTGTGTGATAAAATTAAATTTTTAAAAAAATATTTAACTTTTACTTTTTTCAAAAGAAAGGAATGACTTCTAAAAAATGTATTATTTAAAAAAAAATTAAATTCTATTTTTTCTAAAAATTACTATCCAAATACATTAAATTTTCTAAAAGGACTTGAAAAAAAAAATCTCTAAAAAAAAGTCCATCCAAATACACGCATACTTAGTGCACGTTATTTATGTAGCTTTTTTTATATTTAGTTGCTCCGACTTGGGAAATAATTTTTAATGTCCGGGAGGACTCAAAACTCGTGTTCCCTCTAACAAGACAAATTTTTTGTTTCTTTGACAAAAAAGTCCATCCAAAAACATACATACTTACTGCACGTTATTTATGTAGCTTTCCTTATATTTAGTTGCCCCGACTTGGGAAATAATTTTTAATGTCCGGCTCGTGCTTCCTCTCACAAGACAATTTTTTTCTTTCTCTAAGAAAGAAGTTCATCCAAATACACACGTACTTACTGCACGTTATTTATGTAACTTTCCTTATATTTAGTTGCCCTGACTTGGAAAATAATTTTTAATGTTCGGGAGCACTCAAAACTCGTGTTCCCTCTCATAAGATAATTTTTTTGTTTCTCTGAGAAAAAAGTCCATCCAAACACATACGTACTCACTGCACGTTATTTATGTAGCTTTCCTTATATTTAGTTGCCCCAACTTGAGAAATAATTTTTAATGTCCGAGAGTACTCAAAACTCGTGCTCCCTCTCACATGACAATTTTTTCCTTCTGTAAGAAAAAAGTCCATCCAAATACACATTATACTCACTGCACGTTATTTATGTAGAGTCACTCTGACTTGGAAAATAATTTTTAATGTTTATTTATATAGCTTTCCTTATATTTAGTTGCTCTGACTTGGGAGATAATTTTTAATGTTTGAGAGTATTCAAAACTCGTGCTCCTTCTCACAAGACAAAATTTTCCTTTTTCTTCTTATCACAAGACAAATTTTTCCTTTTTCTTCTTATCCATATTATTTTTTTCTCCTATTCTTTTTATGCATGTTATTTTTCGCTTTTCTTTTTTACTCTATTTATTTTCTCAAAAGGACCTCCCAATTGTTAGTGGCCTCGGAACATAAAAAATGTTCTCCTTGACTTGAGAATATTTGTTTTAATAAATGCAAATATGAGAGCATGCAAAATTCTTGAGAAATGGATAACTTATTGGTCAACTGGGGACAACAACCCACCCTTCGTTGCTTTCCCATCCTTAAAACAACAACAATAATAATTATAATAAATAGTTTATTTGATTTATTAATAGCAATCTAGGAATAAAACAAATGGAATATGCAACAAAAAACAGAACTTGTAAGGGAGAAGAGCACGGTGGTCAAGTAGTGATGGAGCAGGAATTTACATGGTTTTGGGACAAGCTACAAACTACCATATTTATTGTCTTAATTGCTAAAAGTTTTTTTTCTTTATACAACCTGTGAGGCTAAGCTTTTCACCCATCATCACCATCATCATCATCATTATTGTATTTGTAGGATGTATTACGATTGGAAATGATATGATCTAAATATTAATTAGTAGTAGGTGTAACAAGGCAATTGGGTTGAATAATGTTGTGTTGATTATTAAGCTTGCTTTACATATTCATAGGTTCAATCAGGCACCACCACTACAGTTTCAAACTGATTTTTTATTAATGATTAATAAATGGTTAGAGGCAATGGCGCGTATTTTGTTGATTTCAGGAGATTTTGGCGGGGTAAGGAATAGAGGGGGGAAGGGCATGATGGTAATTTAACGAGCGATGAGTTAGGGTTTGGACGTCCCATTTATAAAGGTCTGGTGTTTTAGATTAGATCTGCTGCGGCTGGTGCGCGTGTGTTTGTGTGTGTGTCGTTTCGATTCCTCTTTCTCTCATTTCTCTCTCTCTCTCTCTCTCTCTCTGCACTCACTCGCCTCCGTCACTCACTCTCTGCATCTGCATGCCCGTTTTCTCTTTCCTCTGATCTTCAATCAACGGAATTGTTGATCTCAGATCTTGGAGAGTAGCTTCAGAATGGTGGATCCAAGTGGAAAAGTGAGTGTTCAAGTGATTTTTTTTTTCTTGGTGATTTCTTCTTCATAGGGATAGCTGATCGAGCTAATTTTGTGGTGTGATTGCAGGGATCAGAAGCAGAGGATGCCAACCCTAACGGTGGTGCTTCATCAGGGAACAGCCCAAGCAATGAGCAGAAGAAAACCTGCGCCGATTGCGGCACCACCAAGACCCCTCTATGGAGGGGTGGACCCGCAGGACCTAAGGTGATTCCATTTCCTTGATCTAACATCAGATCACACCAGTGTGCATGAGAATCAAGCCTTGATCTGATTCTTATTTTCTTTTATTTTTGATTTTTGCAGTCGCTTTGCAACGCTTGTGGGATCAGAAGCAGGAAGAAGAAAAGAGCGATTTTGGGGATAAGCAAAGGAAGCAACGAGGATAGCAAAAAGGGGAAAAGGAGCAGCGGTAGCAGCAAGGTTGGTGGTGGTGGTGATGGTTTGAGCTTGAAGCAGAGTCAGAGACTATTTGCTTTTGGGAGGGAGGTTTTGATGCAGCGATCGCATTGGAAGAAATTGGGAGAGGAAGAACAAGCTGCGGTTTTGTTGATGTCACTCTCTTATGGATCGGTTTATGCCTAAGAAAAAAAAAAAGAAAACCCTTCCATTTTTATTTTTAGAAGAACAATTATTAAGAATTTTAGATTTTGTTTTAGGATGCGCCCCTTAGTGTATCGCCCCCCTCCTAACCTTTTCTAAGTGTATATTTTAAAATTCTGCTACTGATTGTTGCTCTGCTCAGCTCTGGGAATGGGGATTATGAGCGTCTGTGTTGTGTTGTCAACAGTTGTAAGAAAATGATTCAAGTCCAATTTTGGTAATATAGTTCTCTATTTGTCATTGTTGTTCCACCCTTGTATCATTTACTTTCCCATGTGCCCTATACTCTCTCGATATCTTTTTACAACAATCTATAAATCACACATTGTGTCGGCGGCGTGAGGAGGAAATTTATTACATGAATTGGACCCTCCAATTTCCAATTTTCAAATTCAGTATCTATTTTTGTTCGCCTTCGAATATTCATTCTTAAGGAATTGGATCAAAAAACTAATGAAGCACCGAGTGAGGTGTGATCTACATTTAGACATTTATATGAAATTTAAGCGAGTGATGATGGCTTTGTTAGCAAAATAGAAAGCGGGACATTCTTTCCTGTTCAAATTTAATGAATGCATCGTCAAATCGAATTATTTTTTTGTTGCGTAATGTGGATTAATATTTGGTCAATCGTTTATTTATTTGAAAAAAGTGGAATGGGTGGCAAAGCAATTGGGGCAAAAAGGAAATAAATTTAAAGGAGGAGGGAACGTGAAATTCATAGTTCCCGCTAGTTTGACTCTAGAAAACATGTACACACAAAGGCCATTTACACTTGGGTCTGCCTGGTCAGATTTGATGGCCATTCTCTAAACCCCAAATATCTTATTTGGGGTTATTACAGTACACACGTGTTTTCCTTGCTTAAAAAAAATTAATTATTCTAAAATCAGCTCACAAATACCATTTCTAGTCGTAAATCATTTTTGTCACATCAATTCTTTTATAACAAAATAATACCAAGTCTTTTATTACAAAAGTAAATTCTTAACAAACCTATTGTCTTCGTTCCAATATTTGAAAAAAGTAGAATGGGATCCTATTTTTGTACCAAGTCAAAACATGTTTTGCATTCATTTTTACACAATCTGAACCAAACATTACCATGATTTCATCTTCCTAAATGTGATTTTGCCTTGTGTTTGTCTTGTTTGGTTGTCTTGAATGGCCTTGTGACTAGGGGTGCTAAACGAGTCAGGGGCCTCTAAAATTGATTGTTGGACCCAGGCTTAGACTTGTATAAAAGCTCCTTTAATAAAAAGGCCTCAGGCTCCAATTCAAAAGCTCGGCTTTAGAGCCTCTCAGGCTTGCCTAATATATTATTTATTTATTTATTTTTATACTACTTGTGATAGCTCTCTCTCTCTTCTCAATTCATTTCATCCCATTTTATTAATTAAACAGATTTTTTAAATGATTTTGTTTTATATTATGCTATTTGGATATACATTAAATTTATGAATATTTATGGAATTACTAGTGCTGTTGATTGTATATTTTGTTTGGATAAATTTTTGTTGTATTAATTTTTTTAAACAAGCTAACAAGCTAAACAAGGCTTTTATTTTTTGTAAATGAGCCAGGCCATAGGCTGATATTATATTCGTAACAGGTAACAAGCTAAGGTGAGTCTCACACATTTGAACACAGGCTCGGCCCGTTAAGACCAAAGTTCGGCTCGTTAACACCCCTACTTGTGACCATAGAATCCTAATTTTTGGTAGAAGATGTATATTTCATAAGGCTTATTTTTTTCTTTTGACAAGTTAAACCAAACACACCCAAAACAGCACTCATTTTGTGGCTCTTTGACCCATTGGGGTCTTCTGAGATTTTAATTTATCAATTTGATATTTGATTTAGGGTATTTACTAATAGAGGTCACTTAATGACACGAGGAAGACTCAACGTCATTGAATGTCGTGACCCTCTCTCCACGTCACTCACACATTTTTTTTTTTCAATTAAGTGATGCCCTATCTCCTGGGGCACTCATAGGATTGTGCCAAGTGGCACAATCTCGTTACCATAAAATTTTGGAAGGCCATAACTTTTAACTAGGATATCCAAATCAGATGATTTTTTTGATTTCACATAACTTTTCGAGATCTACGCAATGACACATCATTTGACATATTTTATCTTCCACGAACATAGTTCAAATTTGCAACAATAGTTCCACTTTTTTACAAATTCGAACTATGTTTGTGAGAGATAAAATATGTCAAAAGAGGTGTCATTGCTTAGATCTCAAAAAGTTATGTGAAATAAAAAAATCATCTGGTTTAGATACCCGAATCAAAAGTTATGGTTTTCCAAAATTTTACGGTAACTGGACTAACGAGATTGTGCCACTTGGCACAATCCTATGAGTGCCACAGGGGAGGGGGTGTTACTAAATTGAAAAAAAAAGAAGAATGTGAGTGATGCGGAGGGAGGGTCACGACACTCAGTGCCGTTGGGTCCTCCTCGCGTCACTTAATGACCCCCATTGGTAAATAACATAAATCAAATACCAGATTAAAAAATTAAAGGTATAAAAACCCGAAATGGGTCAAAGAGCCCTCATTTTAATCATTACATATTCTCTTCAAACAACATAAATTACTACACTTTAAAATAAAATTGAGGTTGAAAAATATAATCTTAACCCATATAAGTGGAATTAGGTACAAGTGGATATATTGACCCTTTTGCCACTGTCTTGAGTCTTAATTATCATTATGTCACGATCCAATGAAATTTTCTCAAAATGACACGTCACATTCTCGCTAGGCCAACAAGTGAGACTGTCACATCTGCAAAAAGTTGTCCACGTGGCTAATCTCGTTGGGCTATCCAGCGAGAATAAGTGTACCTTTTCCACGTGTCAGCACCCTGGAGTATCTCGCTACACGAATAAATCTTTGTTACTACTGTTATACCTAGATTCAGTGCATCTCATCAATGAGAGCATTGCACATTAGAGGAGAATTTTAACTAACATGTAATATTTTCATTGGTGAGATGTACTGAATCTTTGGTACAGCAGTAGTACCAAAGATTTATTTCTCGCTACACTGTTGGGCGAAATTTGTGACCTGCAAGACATTGCCACGTGTCCAATCCAGTCTCGCTTGTTGGCATAACAAGAATGTGACGTGACATTTTGAAAAAAATTTATTGAATTATAGCATAGTGATAATTAATACTCAAAAAAGTGGCACAAGGTCAATGTCCCGTACAGGTGTTCTATTCTTTCTCACTTTTTGAGGTAGAAAAACTGAGTAGTCCCTTTCTTTATTATATGAATACGCAATATAAAATCCTAAAACGATGCTTTTATGTTGTGATTTAAAAATAAGAAAATACTACTCTTATTTTATATGAGATAGTTATCTCATATTCAAGCTTTTCAAAAAATTTACCCTCTCGTTTTTTTCTTCTTTAATGATAGATCCCACTTGACTTCTCTCCTATAAAATAAGAATAGTATTTCCCATAAAAATATATATACCACTGTTTTGAGTTTTGTTCATAGGGGGCGTAACACAACCAGCTTCATGGTCATGTAGTTGGTGGTCAAGGATAGTTGAAGGGAGCTCTTTCATGTATTCTGATAGATAAATGCGGTGGTATTAGATGATTGAGCAGAGTATGCAAATGAGAAAAGATGCGTGAAATCAAATATACGTTGCGGCCTGTTACTCATGCCCTGTACAAGTTTTATTCAGGTTGAAATCAAATATATATTTGCATGATTTGCTATGTATTAGTCATTACTGTTTCTTTGTAATGTGAACTACTGAAGATGTCATTTTCAACATTCAACATCCCTGAGTTTGGACAACAAAATGATTAAAGATAGGAAAGAACCGCCAATATTAGTTGAGCTTTTCGTTTATGCTTTTTGTTCATCAATTAATGAAAATGCATTTGAGTCCTGATTCGGTATCAGTTCCTTTGACTAAATTTTGCGGCTAAATCAATACAATCTGATTTCATGTCTTTTTGTTTGTGCTTTGTTATTCTACTTTTCATCTGCCTTAAAAACTGCCACAATGATTTCAACATTATGCATGTGTGGACTGAGAAAGACAGCAACCATCCCGAAGTAAGTGCAAATCTTTGTTGACTAAATGACATGAAATGCTACGCCAATACAGTAAAGAGTAAAAATCAATTAAGGTATTAGAAAATACTGATGCCAAATCAACTCAGAATTTTCTTGATAACCAAGAACTTTACCATGTATAATGCTTAGTCAACTAAATACTCACTTTTTTTTTTTTTTTTGGTACACTAGGAAATGAATACTAAATACTCACTTTTGATGTTGTTACCTGTTAGGATTGAAATTTGAGCCTTTTTACCCATGCAATTTGCTTTCCTAGGTTGATTCCAATTGTTAGTTTTGAATGACAATAAGTTCGACCATGATTAATTGTATAGATATTATTTTTAAGTTGAATATGAAAAAAAAAAAAGGAAATGAGACACCCTAATCGTTCGTGAATCAAATCAAATAGCAGCATAAAGTAGTGTCCTTTTTCATATTGGATGAAAAGGCAATTCATTATAGTAACATTACTTTTCTTGGTATCCTTTTGACATAAATTATGTAATAACCGTGAGTGAACCCAGACCAGATAAACTAAAGTAATAATATTCATATGATAAAATGGCAAAAAAAAAAAAAAAAGATACACAGCGATATATATATATATATATACCCCAACTGTAGTCTGTAGACAAAGTAAAGCATTTATAATGTCATGGCTGGGATAAAGTCAGGCAATCAATAAAGACATCCTTTTTTTGAGGGTACAGTCAGCAATAATTGATTTTGGTATTGGTCTTCCTGCTGTCTGGGAGGCACTAATTTAACTACAGCTCAGACTCTAATCAGAAACGTTGGTCTCAAGGAGCAGTCTTCGTATTTACAGAAATTCAATTACTAAAGTTGGAAAAAATTAATTTATTTTGTCGTACTTATTCAATTAATTTTTTTATAATTAATGTCATCTGATTTCTATTTATTTTTACTTTTAGTAAAGAATACCTGTCTCCGTAACAGTTAGAAGGCGTTTAGTTGCGGAGAAATTTTATGAATGATAGGAAAATGATATACATAGAGAAATAGTTAGAAAATGAGTTTGTTAAAAAATGTTAAAATATAGATGGGAAAGATATTACTGGGCAAATTAAGTAATATTTATAAAGTCTATGTTTGGACGTAAGTAAAATATAGATGGGAAAGATGCATGAAATTACGAAAATAACCCTGTATTCAAAATACATGATTAGGTTGTACAAAGGAAG